AGTCAGAAGTAGCAACAGTAGATAAGGAATCAAGTGAAGATGGGCCAGGATTTGAGTGAAGATGGGCACAAGAACAAGCTTTCAATATATAAGAAGACCATGGAGGTATGTCAGGAGTAATACTTATTTATTTATCATGTCAGAAGCAAATTGCGAATGCAGTTATAATGCATACAGAAACCACAAACAAAGTTAAAAGCTTGGCATTGTACTCAATGTCGTTTGACCATAAGCTGGCCACTTATTATACATATTGTGGATCAGCCACAACATCTCAGAAGTAGCAACAGCAGATAAGAAATTGAGTCAGAAGTGGCCACAGCAGATAAGGAATCGAGTGAAGATGGGTCAGAAGGAAGTCTCTCATCCAGTATTGGCCACTGATTAAGCTTCTGGGTTTTAGCCTGCCACTTTTGGACTCTCGCTTGCTGAGGTGTTCCTGCGAGTGTCTCTGTAGATCTTAGAAAGCTATTTCTTGATTTAAGGCGTTGATATCCGAAGTGTAATTCATTCTGTATTGAGAACGGCTTGCGTGCCACTCAGAAATGTCATCTTCACTTTGGCAAGATTGGTAGTTGTATTATTATTATCACCATTATTATACATGTTGTGGATCAGCCATAACATGTCAGAAGTAGCAACAGCAGATAAGGAATTGAGTCAGAAGCAGCAACAGAAGATAAGGAAATGAGTGAAGATGGGCCAGAAGAGAGCACACCTAAAGCAGTGCTTCTCAACCTGTGGGTCCCCAGATGTTTTGGTCTTCAACTCCCCAGAAATCCTAACAGCTAATAAACTGGCTGGGATTTCTGGGAGTTGTAGGCCAAAACATTTTGGGACCCACAGGTTCAGAACCACTGACCGAAAACTTCGGAGATCTTTTGTTCAATTATTTCAAAGCTGCTTGCTTGAGCGGTGATGGCACGATCGTCAGCATAGATGAAACTCTAAGAGGAAGAATAGTAACACATCCGAGCATCCCCTAGGCAACATCTTTGTAGATAGGTGATTTTCTCACATCAGAAGCAACTTGCAGAATGCAACCAAACTAAAATAATAATAATTTTATGATTGCCTCAAATCCTTTTGCACCACTATGAGGGTCTAATCTAGAATTTATGGATAATTTGGATATTTCCTTGAAAAGTTCAAGATTGAAATCACATTCTAAAATGTTCTTTTAATTTCTGGAAAATGCATGTTAAAATGCACTTTGCTTGCAATGCATCCACTGCCTTTCCCTTTTCTTGCCCTCATTTTTGCATTCATAACTCTGCTTGCAGTCTAAGAAGAATTACGACCAGAAATGCAAAGATGCCGACGAAGCCGAAGGAGCCTTTGAAAAGATCAGTGCCGCCGGAAACCAGAAGCAAACGGAAAAGGTATTCGAATATCTCCGTTTCAAATGGCTTTTCACTTTCATGGGGATAGAGTTGGAAGAGACCTTGTGGGCTATCCAATCCAACCCCATTCTGCCAAGAAGAAGGACAATCGCATTCAAAGCACCCCTGACAGATGGCCATCCAGCCTCTGCTTCAAAGTCTCCAATGAAGGAGCCTCCACCACACTCCGGGGCAGAGAGTTCCACTGCTGAACGGCTCTCACAGTCAGGAAGTTCTTCCTAATGTTCAGGTGGAATCTCCTTTCTTGTAGTTTGAAGCCATTGTTCCACATCCTAGTCTTCATTCAGGGCAGCAGAAAACAAGCTTACTCCCTCCCCCCTATGACTTCCTCTCACATATTTATGCATGGCTATCATGTCTCCTTTCAGCCTTCTCTTCTTCAGGCTAAACATGCCCAAATCTTTAAGCCGCTCCTCATAGGGCTTGTTCTCCAGACCCTTGATCATTTGAGTCACCTTCCCTTGGGCACATCAACATCTCCTTCAATTGAAGTGCTCAAAATTGGACACGATATCCTCTGCCCTTTAACACTAGTGAATATGTTTTGTATTTCAGAGCCAGACCAAAGCGAAGCAATGCAAAGAAGCCGCCAATGAAGCAGGTACTCTTTCTAATGGCAATGAAATGGAAGTTTGTTGAAGGAAAGATCCAACTCTGGATAGGAATGAGATTGGAGAGAGATAGATAGACACTGACTTGACTACCCGATGAAACCTGGTTATTTTGTTTATTTTATGAATGGTCCCATTAAGAAAATGCATAAGGTTGTGGGATGTTGCACTCCAGGACAGGAAAAGCCCTCTGACTTTAAACACCACACCATTGGATGGGAAACAATTAAAAATTTAAAAAGCAGTAAAGTAAAAAACACTTTAAAGAAATAGGTAAATCTAATTAGGTAGGAAGATAAACAGGAGCAAAGTAGTCCAGGGTAATAGACCAGCACAGTCCATAGAAACAAAGTCAACACTTCCCAAATAAAATGCAAGAAATCAGAAAACATGAATCTATTGAAGATAATTAAAAAGCAGTAAAGTAAAAAAACACTTTAAAGAAATAGGTAAATCCAATTAGGTAGGAAGATAAACAGGAGCAAAGTAGTCCAGGGTAATACACCAGCAAATGCAAGAAATCAGGAAACATGAATCTATTGAAGATAATTAAAAAGCAGTAAAGTAAAAAAAAAAACTTTAAAGAAATAGGTAAATCCAATTAGGTAGGAAGATAAACAGGAGCAAAGTAGTCCAGGGTAATAGTCCAGCAAAGTCCATAGAAACAAAGTCAACACTTCCCAAATATAACGCAAGAAATCAGGAAACATGAATCTATGGAAGATAATTAAAAAGCAGTAAAGTAAAAAAAAACTTTAAAGAAATAGGTAAATCCAATTAGGTAGGAAGATAAACAGGAGCAAAMTAGTCCAGGGTAATAGACCAACAAAGTCCATAGAAACAAAGTCAGCACTTCCCAAATAAAATGCAAGAAATCAGAAAACATGAYTCTATTGAAGATAATTAAAAAGCAGAAAAGTAAAAAAAAACACTTTTAAGAAATAGGTAAATCCAATTAGGTAGGAAGATAAACAGGAGCAAAGTAGTACAGAGTAATAGTTCAGCAAAGTCCATAAAAACGAAGTCAACACTTCCCAAATAAAATACAAGAAATCAGGAAACATGAATCCAAGGCATGAATATAAAAGCATAGAATCCAAGAATCAAAACCATGAAACAAAGGCACTTAAAACGTGAATTTTCCAAGCAAAGCTTCCATGAAACAAGGACGGGATCTTGACTTCATTCCAAACGATGCTTCATCTGACTACATATCCTGTACTTGAGACTTTTATCTTCTTATTACGCTATGTGTCTAGCGCTCAGAAATTGGTTGTGCTTTAGCTGAGTTCTTATCTTTTTCTCTCGGAGCCTGGCAGAACGCTGAAGCCACTGTTCGGCTCTCCTGTTCTGACTGATCTCTCGTCTATCTATTTGCTCATTAATTTCTGCAGCTGGGCCAGATGCCGAGCTGTTTTCATGTTCTCTATCATGGAAACTCTCTGGTAACAATTCAGAAAGCACACCATCATCCTCACACCCCTCAAGGACATTCTCATGGGAAACTACGCTTTGCACAGGGATCTCCCGGTCATTCTCTGCATCAGTATCACTTACCAAACCATTTTCATCTTGAAACTCATCTTGAAACTCATTGACATCACTCCCCACATCCAAAGCACCCTGATCTTGAAACACAATCACAGGCTGAGCTCCAACAGTGGGTGAACTCCAACTCACATCATGCCAGGTCAACCCCATCAAACACCATCAATTGGTCTTGTTGGGCATGTGTTTGCCCCAGATGCATCATCGGTGGGGTTCAGTGTGCTCTCTGGCTGCAAGATGGACTACAACTCCCACTACGATGGAAGTGTCTCCATATGTAGGTGAACTACAAGTCCCAGAAAGCAACGTCAATTCCCCCAAAACTGCTCCAGTATGTTCCGTTGGGGGTTCTGTGTGCCAAGAGTGGTCCAGGTCCATCGCCAGTTGAGTTCTGAACTACAACTCCTATAAAGCAAATCATTTCCCCTCAAACATCTCTAGTATGTTAGTCATGAGGATTATATGTACCAAATGTGGTCCAGGTCCATTGTCACTGTCTGGATGCAGGGCAAACTACAACTTCCATCATGGACTGGAACTAACTTGGTACACAAAGGATGAACACCTTCCATTTGTGCCTATTTATCCCCGCAGAAAGAGTCTACAAGCAGAACATAGAGCTGTTGGATCAGGCGAGAGTTACTTGGGAGCAGGAACACATCAGCACGTGCGAGGTCAGTCGTTGTCATCTGGTAACATGCCTTTCTTAGGAGCTTTAATGCTTACAGTGGATGGGAATCTCTTGTTGGCGTTGACATACAACTTCCACCAGTCCTAGTCAACATGGCCAATGGCGGGGAATGCTACAAACTACTCCCAACCTACATCTGAATGAACAGTACATACTTTGTCCTTTGCGGACAACTTGTGTCACTCCAAATGTCACCAACTACAGCTCCCACCATCCCTCACGGTTGAATCTGCTGATGAGAGTTGTAGTCCTGCAAATGGTGGGCACAACAAATCCACACATGATCTGAAATGTGCCATTTAGTGGTCTACAATAACATTACTCAACACGGTGGACTACTTATGGTCCATGGGATAGCAGATACTGGTCAGTGGGTATACATACGGCATCGCTAGACCCTGGTCCATTGGAGGAGAAAACGAAAGTCTTCACATTGGATAACTTAATAAGTATTGTATTGATGAAGGCTTTCATGGCCAGAATCACTGGGTTGCTGTTTTTCATGCTGTATGGACATGTTCCAGAAGCATTATCTCCTGACGTTTTGCCTGCATGTGACTAATGGCATCTTCAGAGGTTTGTTCGCATTGGCAATGAAGCGAGTGTGTGTGTGTTTGTGTGTGTGTATGTATGTGTGTGTGTGTGTGTGGAATATCCAGGGTGGGAGAAAGAACATGTGTGTGTGTGTGTGTGGGGAATGCCCAGGGTGGGAAAAGAGCATGTATATATGGATGTGTGTGTATGTGTATGTAAGTATGTATGTATGTATGTATGTGTATACACACACACACACACACGTGTGTGTGTAATGTCCAGGGTGGGAGAAACAGCATTTATCTATCTGATCCTAATTCATGTGTGCATATATATGTATATATGTATGTATGTATGCATGTGAATGTACACAAATCTGTGTGTGTGTGTGTGGAATGTCCAGAGTGGGAGAAACAGCATTTATCCATCTGATCCTAATTCATGTGTGTGTGTGTG